GTGAATCTTATTGTCTTCAAAGTAGTTGCCTATGTCTTCAAACTTGATACTATCATATAGAATGGAACAGAGTCTAATCAGTCAAAACAAGATCGTGGGAGTACTACAGGACTTCAAAACAAGTTAATAGGAAATCGAAAAGAGTTACTATTTATATATCCTAATTTTTTGAATTTTTTCTTTAATTAAGACAAACATAAGAAATGACTAAATAATTTTTTTTGAAACAATAAGGGGGAGATTGAGATAAAACAGGACATAACAATATAACAATAGAGGTCACAGCATGACTGTTTCAACAACCTAGTACTTAACCACCTTATAACCTGACTTAATAGTAGTTACCATAGTGTCTTTTTCCTTGAAATATTTGGATGAAACTTCATATACTCTAGCTTCAAATATTTTCATATCAAGAAGCCCAGAATAAAGCCTTTCTAATTAATGAGTGAAAACTTTATAAGGCTTCAAGGCCACCTAATGGGGAATCATGATTACCACATATTTTTATATATTTGAATCATTATTTACATTAGGGAAACTATTCGGTATTCACACATGCGAGATTGATTTATTTCACTAATGAGTATGGTCTCAAGCTGCGCCCATTTATTGATAAATATCTCAATGTGATCCTTCTTTATAGCTGAATAATACTCCATTGTATAGAAATACCACAACTTTTTTATCCATTCCTCAGTTGATGGGCACTTGGGTTGTTTCCAAGATCTGGCGATTACAAATTGTGCTGCTATAAACATAGGTGCACATATATCACTGTGGTATGATGCTTTCAGTTCTTCTGGGAATATGCCTAGAAGTGGAATAGCTGGAATAAATGGGATTTCCAGTCCCAACTTTTTGAGAAATCTCCAGACAGATCTCCACAAAGGCTGTACCAGTCTACACTCCCACCAGCAGTGCAGGAGAGTTCCTTTTTCCCCACAGCCTCTCCAGCATTTGTTGTCGGTTTTCTTGATCCTGGCCATTCTTTCAGGAGTGAGATGGTATCTCAGTGTGGTTTTAATTTGCATTTCTCTAATGACCAATGATGATGAGCATTTTTTCATGTAGTTATTTGCCATTTGCATTTCTTCATCTGAGAATTGCATATTCATCTCAGATGCCCATTTTTGGATTGGATCTTTGAATTTCGGAGGTCTGAGTTTCTTTAATTCTTTATATGTTTTAGACAAGAGGCCCTTGTCTGAGAGAGAGTTCACTAAAATCTTTTCCCAGTTTGTGGGTTTTCTTTTCACTATGCTGGAGATTTCTTTTGATATGCAGAAACTTTTTAATAAGAAGTGGTCCCAGTTATTGATTCTGGGAAGTATTTCCCGTGCGGTTTGAGTCCTGTTCATGAATTCTCTACCTACTCCTATGTCTCCAAGGTTTCTACCTATTTTGTCTTCCAATAGATTTAGTGTTTCTGTTTTAATATTCAGATCTTTGACCCATTTAGATTTTAATTTAGTACATGGTGATAGACATGGGTCTCTGAGTAGCTTTCTACTGTCCTGTGTTTCTTAGCCACTCTGCAGCTGATGGGCAAGCTACCCCCACTGCTCTCTGGTTCCCTGTCACATAGAGCTTTGTTCTCTCCTTTGATTTTCAATCCGTGAACCTGTGTTGAGTTAAATGTGTTTCTTGTATAAAGCATCTTGATGGGCCCCGTCTCCTGATCTACTCTGGAAGCCATCCACATTAACGGTTATGGCCACCACGCACTGGTTCGTCTCTGCCATGCTATTTTCCTGCCATTGGCTGCCCACTTTTCTCCTCCACTCAGCTGTCTGCCCTGCTCAGTGATCCTCCTCTGCTGCTGCTCCTGGAACTGTGGTCCTGTTCATCTCTCTCTAGAATGGCCTTCAGTATTCTTTGAGAGTTGGTTTGGTGGTCATGAATTCCGTCAGCTGTTCTTTGTCATGGATGCATCTTGTTTCTCCATTAATTTTGAAAGATAGTTTTGCAGATACATCAGTCTGGGTTGGAGGTCATTTTCTTTTCAGGACTTGGAGTTCTTCACTCCAAGCTCTTCTGGACTTGAGGGTTTGCGTTGAGAAGTCTGTCGTGATTCTGAGGGGCTTCCCTTTATAGGTGATCTCATAGATTTTCTCTAACAGCCTTTAATATTCTTCCCTTGTGCTGAATTTCTGGGATCTTGATTATTGTATGTCTGGTGTAGATTTATTTTGGTTATGGCCAGCTGGAGCTCTCGATGCCTCACTTATCTGAAAGTCACTTCCTTTCCCCGTGCTTAGGAAGCTTTCTGCCGTTATTTCTGTAAATAGACCTTTAATGTCATTTGTGTGATCCCTGCCCTTTCACTCACACCTATTTTTCTTGAGTTATGTTTCTTTGCGTTGTCTTGCAGCCGTTGGGTTGTTACTTCTTGGTTCCTTGTTATTTTTAAGAGATCTTTCCTTCCACAATCACAAGCTGTGAACCTCTCAAAAAAAAAAAAAACAGATTGAAGACCTGGGTATTTGTGGAAATACCCAGGAGGGAAGTAGCTGTATTGAGTGAAACCTCCAGTTCTGGGGGGATCGCCACACTGATTTCCATGGTGGTTGCACCAGTCTACACTCCCACAACAGTGGAGAAGGTCCCGTTTTCCCCACAGCCCCACCAACACCTGTCATTAGTTGTTTTCTTGACGACAGCCGTTCTTTCTGGAGTGAGATGGAGCCTCAATGCTGTTTTAATTTGCATTTCACGAATGACCAGTGATGGTGATGCAGATATCAGGAAATGGAAAGACACCCCACATTCCGGATAGTCAGAAATACTGGTACAACATACTCATAAGACGAAAAGTGATATACAGATTTAATGCACTACCAATCAGAATTCCAACAGAATTCTTTACAGCATCAGAAAAACAATCCTAAAAATCACATGGCACCAGAAACAACCCAGAACAGCAAAAACAATCCCAGACAACAAGGGCAAACAGGTAAGGCATCACAATCGCAGATTTCAAGTTACGTTGCAAAGCTTCGAAATAAAAGAGACGGCATGGTGACAGTCAGTGTTACCAAACTGAGGGTACAGCAGCGTCTCCAGGCTCCTTCAGCCATCTGATCTTTGACAGAGAGTCCAGAAGTGTACACCGGAGGGAAGATGGACTTTAACAAAAGGTGCCTGGCAAACTGATTGTCTACGTCTGAAGAATGAATCTAGATCCGTGTCTCTCACCCAGCACCAAACCTAAGGCATGGAAATAAAAAGGTGTCTGAACAGAACCCCAACTGAACAAGAGGTAACACCAACAATCAACATGGGGGATTATAGCAAATTACAAAGTTTATTTCAAATTAGCACAGCACATGAAAACAAGCAACAAAGAGACAGCCTACACAATGGGGAAAATACTTACCTGTTACTCCTTGAACAGAGGACTATACCTACATTAGATTAACAGATAAGAATATTAGACTCCCCGAGAAAAGATCCTTCAAAAATAGGCAATGGAAATGAATATATATTTTGTTAAGAACAAACCAATGACCAATCCATAAGAAAATGTTCAGCGTCTTTGGCCTTTAGAGAAATGCAAACAATGCTAAAGTTTCACGCAGCTATAAAGTAGAGTAATCTCGAGGCTCCTGTAGGTAAATGGACGCAACTGGAGGTCATGTTCATGGGTGAAATAGTTCAAACTCACACGCGTGACCCCGAGCATAAGAAACAGAAGGAGTTGGTGGGATCCAAAAGCAAAATAGTTAATGTAAGAGCAAAGGGAGGAAACACCTGCGAGGGAAAGGTGGAAACTACTGGGAATGTCTTATTGTCTTGTCTTGGACTCTTGCATTGTTTACACAATTTTGTTAGGTCTGGCTTTGTTCTGTCTTGTTTTGTTAGACTTTACACTGTCTGATGGTAGGGGCAGCTATTTTGAATATAAAGGGATATAGTATGGTAATCTTGATTTCCTATCATATTGCTGTGAAGTCATAATGCTTTCATTCACTTGCTTGATTGGTTGTATTCTGTTTTGTTTGATCTTATTATGTTGGTGGTATGAACAGCTATTTTGAAGAAAATGAGACATTATAGTAGCCATGCTAATCCTATCATCTTGCTTTGAAATCCTATCATGCTTTTGTTTGTCTGGTTTTTTTTTTGTTGTTGTTCTATCCTGTTGTGTTTTCTTTGATTTTATTATGTGTGATGGTATGGACAATGTTTTTGAGGCAAATGAGATATTATAGTAGCCATTGTTCATTTCCTGTCATCTGGTTTTGAACTCCTGTAAGGCTTTCATCCTTTTGAATGGTTTTATACTATTTTTCTCTGTTTGCTATTATTGTGTGTGAAGGTGCAGTCAACTATTTGGAAGAAAACAAGAGACATTATGGTAGCTACTGTTGATGTCCGGTGGTCTTGTTGTGAAGTACTGTGTCGCTTGCATTGTTCTGTTGTGATTTACTTTGTTCTATTCTCTTTTGTTTTATTCTCTTTAAAATAAAAAATTAAAAATCAAATGAAATAAAATTTCATCTTACTCCAATAAGAATGGCTATGATCATGAACTAAAAACAAAATTGATGGTGAGGTTGTGGGCAAAAATCAACCTTGGAATATAAATTAGGAAGACTGTAAGAAATCGGTACAGGGATTCCTTACAAAATAAAAAATATAAATTCTCTTCCACCCAGCTGGCCCCCTTCTAGCACGCCTTCCTGAAGGAGTTAAAGACAGAGTATTACAGTGATAATTTGCACCCGTGTTTACAGCAGCACAGTTCATAACAGCTAAATTTTGGAAGCGCCTACATATCCACCAAAAGTTTAATGGATAAAGAAAACATGGTATTTATAAACAATGAGTACTAGAAAGAAGGATAAATGCTGTTTATAGGAAAATAGATGCACCGTGAGGTCATAGTAAGTGAAGTGAGTCACACACAGCAGGTTAAATACTGAATGACTCCTCGTATATGGGAAATTCTAAGTCAGAATAATTCCAAGAGCAACATTAAACATACATGGTAGAAAACAGAATAGACTTTAAGGAGATGGGTGTTCTGGGGATAGAGGGTAACGGGGGAGGGAGGCAGTGAAGCTTTGACATTTGCACGTCTGTCCCCGTACTCCACAGCGAGCGTGTTTATTTTGTACTGCAAACACAGGATGGGAAAATCCTTTACAGGATTCCACCTCCAAGCCTCCTAATGCTTCACTGAGAAAGGTCGTATGTCATGCTCTTGGCAAGTATTTGGAGGAAAGATCACCAGACTGGCAAGGGCAAGGCTGGGCTGGTCCGCCTCTCGTGGCACCTGAAATCTCCAGTGTGCCCTTTAACCCGCTACACCCAGGCCAGAAAGGAGGGGGTGGCTGTGAACTCAGGGGCTCAGAGTCACCTTAACACAAACTCGATCTCACCCCAGACCAAAAGGGTCAAGTTCTAAGGGTTCAGGTCAGTGCTGTGTGCCTCTGGGGTGATGATTACTTCCTATACCCAGCTCCCTGCCCCCAAGTCTTGGCCTCCTGCCCAGGCAGGAAGGGGGCAGCCGAGGCAGGGGATCAGCTGGCATAGCTCAGCTGGGTGCAGCCCCTGATGGTGTCAGCAGCCAGGAATAAACAAGTCCCAGGAGCATGGTGAGCAATTCCTGCAGAAAGAAGTTAAGACAGGAGGGCTGGTGGGTTGGAAGGTCCTGGTCCAGGTGGGAAGGGGTTGCATGGAGCTGAGAAGGGGGCTCCATGCAGGGATGGGGACAGGGAAGTGGAGGGTTTCCGGGAAATAGTCGCTGGCCGTCTCTCTAGGATCCTCACAGCTCTGCTGCTGTCAGCATCCCTGGGGGTCGCCATCCCCTTCCCAGACCTCAGGAACCCCATTCTCTCTGCCCTGCAGGATGACACAGCTGAGCCCGGCCTGGCTGGGCCTGGGGCCCGTGGCAGCCTCCCCTTGGCTGATCGGGCTCCTGGTTGGGGTTTCTTGGCTCCTGGCCCGAGTTCTGAGCCGCATCTATGCCATCTATGAAAACTCTGGTCGCCTTCAATGTTTCCCACAGCCCCCCAAAAGGAACTGGCTTCTGGGTCACCTGGGCATGGTGAGTGAGGCAGCAGGAGGGTCCGGGCACCGGGTGGAGGGGCTCTCAGGGCTCAGGGAGCTGGGGCTCAGCGGAGGTCCTGGTCTGGGGCAGCAGGGAAGCACGGGAGGTGTGGCTCGGTCCTGTGGGTGACTCCTTCCGTGGCGCCGCCCAACCTGTCCTTCCTCTCTGTCCTCCCGTTCATAGTCCGCTTCAGATTCATTTCACGCCAGGTTTCCTCACACTGGGGGCCTCAGTGTGGGCTCCGTGTACACAGAGAGAGCCCCTGGTGTTCCCCTGCTCTCTGCAGCTGGACCTGAGGCCCGGGAGCAGCGCTGTCCAGGGGCTGCTCCTGGACTGTGTCCTTGGGTCAGCCCATCTCTAGGTTTTTGCTTTTTCACAGCAGCGAAATTTGATTCCCTCAAGCAGTACAGGGCACATCTGCCCCTCACAGGGTTACAGGCTGCCCCCCGTTGCCCTCCCCGGTACCCTCACCTGCCCTCACTCTCTTCCCCTAACGTGACACAACGCGCCCTGTCCCAAACATGCTTAAGAGTTGTCACTCATTTCCCCTTCACAAGCTTCCCGTGACGCCCTCCACCCTCTGCAGGGCACACGCTGGTCTCTGAGTTAGTGACATGGCCTTGCTTGCTTGATTGTAAAGGGAACAGTTGACGGCTTTGTGTGTAGCTTCCGTGAGCTTTTGCAGAGGGTGCTCTGTGTCAGAGCCCGGGCGCTGCAGGTGCTCACGGAAGGAAGCCACCACCCTGATGGAGACTTCAGAGGTCACCTTTGTGCTCTGAGGGCCACCTTCCCTGGAATGGCCCTGGTGTGGGGCTCCTCAGCTTAACCTGAGCCTCAGGTGGTGAGGACCGGTCAGGTCATGAGAGATGTGAAGTAAGCCCTAGGGACAAGTCCTGAGGCCACACTGTGGAGCATAAACCATGTAGTGGCAAAGGTACAGGGTCCCTCTGTCCTTAAAGTCCAGACGCCTGTCACTGCAGAGACTGATTCCTCCGGAGGCTGATGGGGCCCCCTTGTGGCTCCAAGGATAGCTGTTCAGTCAGGGTTCTCCAGCATAAGAGAACCAGTGGTCTGTGCATGCACACAAACACTTACACGCACAGACACCGAGGGTCTTGTGTCACTTAATAGTCAGGACTGGCTTTAAGAAATCCACCCTGGGGCACATTTTCCCTTGGCAGTGTAAGAGAGTGTGCCCTGCAGGCGTGGAGGTGGTGTCATCTGCAAACACCTGGGCTGTGGGGGACAAGCTGTGGGTGTGGGTACATACACAGAGCTGAGCAGGGCTGGATCCGGAGTTTGCTCAAGGCCAGCCTGGACTGTGTGGTGAGACCCTGTCTCAGAAAGACAAAAAAGTGTGCACCAGGGCTTGGAAGAGTGAGTCTGTTTGAAGGTCTCATCCTGCCTCGGTCAATGTCTTGCTCAAGACATCTCTCCCTGAGATAAGCACTGCCTAGTAATAAATAGAGGAAGGAAACTCATACTTGATGTCCTCTTTGATAATGGGGAGAAGCAGGAACAGTTGTTTCATGTGGTGGAGACGACCAGCCTGGCACAAGAAAACTTTCATCTCCTCTCAGAGAAGGCCCCACCCCAGCGCTTCAAGGGATGTGCCCTGAAATGCTGAGGCCCCCACTCCTGAGTCAGGCGCTGGAGACAGCCTGGGAGCCTACAAGAGACATGATAATCTGCTCTTGTGAAGGCAGAGGGGAGAGGGTGGGTGATGAACAGCTGAACAGGAGTGTGAGGAGTGGATACAAGAGCAGGGCAACTGGGGCCAGGGGTCTAGCTGGGCGGCATGAACACCTGCCTGGGAAGTGCACGGTCCTGAGTTCGATTCCTGGTACCAGGAAAAAAAAGCAGGGCAACCTCATCTCCCAAAGGCAGGGCCAGCTGGTGGGGAAGGCTTCATGGAGGAAGTGGGATTTCAGCCAAGATGTCCTATTCCCAGGGCAGGGACAGAGAGAGCAAATGTTCCCAGGAATAGCACATGCCAAGTCCCTGGGGTAGGAAAATGAGCGGGACCTTAAAAAAGGTAAAAGGAAAAAGGTGATTATTACATGGGGCTTGGGCAGGGGAGACTAGGGTGTGGCTCAGGGACCCTAAAAAGACAAGAGGATCTTCCCCCAATCCCAGCCATCCTCAGATGACATTTGTCCCTCTGGCAACACTGCCTGTTATACACCATGGCAGGTGATGTCAACCTCACCTGGGAAATGCATTTCACCTAGATTAGGGAACAGTCACCTTAGAGCTAATTGCAACTCAAAGTTGGGTGGTAAAGACAGAATCATTGGGACTTCCAGGAGAACATGGTGGATAGATAGCAGCAGCTTCAGAGGCTCTCTGAGAAACCGCACTTAAAATCCAGGAATGGTGCCAGGCGAGAAATCCTAAGCAAGGGGAGATATACTTTGCTGACCCAGGAACGAACTAAACTAAGAGAAACCAACTGGAAACGCAATCCCGGTGATATAACAGGAACAGATAAGGTCTCAGCGCAGAAGCTGGACCCTGCGCTACTGGAAGCTGCAATTTGAATTTCCTGCAGTCGCTGCTGCGTCCCAATCGGCACAGCAAGGAGAGAGGCCCAAAAGCTCTGAGAGTGGGAAGTGGTGAATGGAGTTGAGAACAGGACTGGCTGGGAGCCCTGCATCGATCTGTGGTGAGTGAGCGGATCAGGAACCCTTCCATAGAGTATGAGGCTTCAGCAAAGGACATACTGGGACCGGGCCGACTAGTGGGAACAGGATGCTGCAGTGACTACAGTCACATATCCTCCTCTCGAGCAGGATTGGTGGGCAGTGACTGGCCTGTGTGATGCCGCTGACTAAGACCCAGTAGTCTAGCCCAAACCAGATCCCAGCGCCTGGAGGTGCACCCTAGTGGTAAAGCCTTCAGTAGGTTGACCTGGAGGGGCAGGCCCAGCATAGGCTGCCCAGGTCTGTGTCTTCCTAGTACACTGCAGTGGGCGGGAACACCTACCCGGCACTATTCAAACAAACTGTAACCGACAAAGAAAGAAACTGGGCCTCCTATATTCGCTTGTATAAAAGGAACAAAAAGATATGGGAAGAGGGAGCAACAAGAAAGGGTCCTCAGCCCCCAACCCTGAGAAACATGCAATATCAGACACGGCACCAATAGACATAAAGCGCTATCTCCAGAGCCTCATAGACGAGTTCAGAAATGAAGTTAATTAACGACCTGAAGCAAGACACAAGCAGAATAGTTAGAGAAATGCTAAGCACCACCCAAGAAGAAAACAGATGGTGGAATGGAAGAACAGAAAAAGAGGGGAGAATTGTTTGATGGAGAAAATAGAGAAAACATAGAATACATGAAGCAGGTTCAAAAAGATTACCAGGAAACTAAAAACTCTATTGAAAGCTGGCATAACAGCTTGAAAGAAACTAAGGATAGATTATCTGAACTGGAGGGAAGATTTGTAATGTGGGAGCATGAAATGAAAAACTTCTTAAAAATAACAAAAAAAAAACAAACAGCAACAATATAAAAGCTAGAAGATGATAAGAGGATCTATAACTTAAGAATTAAGAACATAAAAGAAGAAGTAGGGACACAAACAAGTGGGCTACAAAAGCTATTCACAGAAATAATCCAAGAGAATTTCCCTAATTTAGCAAAAGGTAAAGATACTCAGATGTATGAGGCATACAGGACCCCAGCAACCTACAACCCAAACAGAGCTACACCCAGGCATATAATAATCAAAATTCCAGAAATCCAATATAAGAACAGAATATTAAAAGCCGTCAGAGACAAGAAACAGATCACTTACAAGGGAACACCCATCAGAATTACAGCAGATTTCTCGGCACAAACCATCAAATCACGAAGAGCGTGAGGGGGAAATAATTCAAGCTTTGAAAGATAACAACCTCCAGCCAAGATTGATATATTCTGCACAACTGTCCCTAGAAACTGATGGAAAAACAAGGTGCTTCCAGGATAAAGAAGAACTAGGGGAATTTGCAACCACCAATTCAACTCTACAGAGATTACTGCAGGATATTCTAAAAAAGAAAAATACCAAGATTCCAAAAACAGTGGCACAGAGGTCACAATGAATGGAGCAGAAAGCGAAATGAAGAAGACAAACTGACAGCTAATGACAGAAAAAGAGCTCAACAAAAATGAGGCAGAAAAGATCAGATGGTAGGAACAGCTATTTTGGAGAAAACAAGACATCATAATAGCTAGTGCTGATTTAGTATCATCTTGTTTTGAAGTCCCATCAAACTTGTATGCTTCTGTCTCCATTGGTATTAAAGGGTTGTATCTTATTGAATTTTATTATATATGATAATATAAGTAAAAACTTTTATAGACAAGGAGATTATACAGAAACCACTGTTCATTTTCTGTTAATTGGTTCTAAATACCCTGTAATAATGTCATTCTCTTGAATGGTTTTACATTGTCTTGATATGTTTGGTGCTACAGTATACAAAGTTATACTCCAAGATTTCAAGGAAAGAGACACTATGGTAACTATTTTTATGTCAGGATATCTTGTGGTGAAACACTGTTTTGCTTAAATGGTTATGTTTTGACCTGTGCTGTTCTGTTGTTATGCCCTCTTTTAGCTCAGTCTCCCCCTTTTTTTAATTATTTACTTTTTTCTTTTTATCTTTTAATTAAGGGGAAAATAAATAAAAAATAGCAGGATACATTATAGTAACCCACTTTGATTTCCTATTAACTTGAGTTGAAACCCTGTATTGCCCTCAACATCTTGTTTTGACTGATTTTCACCTATACTGCTTTGCTTGATAGTACCACGTTACAAAGTATAGGCAACAACTGTGAAGACAATAAGATTCATTATGACGCCCATTCTGGTTGACTATTATCTTCTTTTAAAGTCCTGTAATGTCTCCAATGCTTTGGTTTTATTCTTAACTGTTTTGTTCAATTTTATTATAACTGATGATATAGGCAATTCTTCTTAAGATAGCAAGAGGCAGTATGGTAACCATTGTTGATCACCTTGTATTTTGTTTTTACATTGTCTATTATGTCCATCCTTTTGATTTGACTGACTCTGTTCTGATATGTCGCATTTGGTTTTACTCTCTTCAAAAAAAGTAATAAGAACTGTGGGAGTAATAAAACCCAAAATATGTAATTGTCATTGCACAAAAGAAAAGAAAAGAAAGTGCTCTAAAGGTTATAACTGCATATATGTTTGAGTGTATAAGATAGATAACCATATTACTGAGTTTTGTTGGATCACTGAACAAAACCGTTTGCACTCTCACTGTTTGAAAGTCCACTTTATATGCTTTTATTTTGTAACTTGAACAACTATTTCTAAAAAGAGAATATGTAACCTATTAACTAGTGATTTCTTACTGTTTATTTTTTAAATTTTGTATTACTTGTACCCTTTTTCTGTTTTTTTTCTTTTTATACTTAAATTTTAAAAATAATAGAAAAAAAAGACAGAATCATTTTCTTCCTTTTCTCTCAGTATTTACTGAGCACCTGTAAGGTACCAGGCGTGGAACACAGCGCTGAGTGTGGTCCTAGGCTCTTAGACCCCGCAGGCCAGTGGGGAGGCAGGGTGGTGACAGACACGGAACTTATGCAGCCGTCGGAGGAATATCACTGGGAGGAAGCAGAAGTGTCGGTTCCCCCACCTCCAACTGCTGTCTGCACCTTGCTGCTCATTAGACATCGGAGTCCAGGCTTGAGGCTCAGTGGGGGGACTCCCCGGGAAGCCCTCCCTAGAGTGGGGTGTGCTGGGACTTTGTCTCCATCTGCCTGCACCTCTGTGGCTGATTCTCAGAGAACTTTTAATTTGCACAAATGAAGTGGACTCGAGATTGCCTGTTAACTTTTAATGAGTCCCCGGGTGTCACGAAAAACCCCGTGGTGTGTTCACTGAGAAAACTTGGAATTGGTTTCCTGGGGATTGTTTTGACAGCAAAGTCTAGCAGGCGAAGCAGGTAGATGGCCTTCGGGGCTTTTTAGTGGTACTCAGGGCGTTCATCTCAGGGGGCTCCGATGTCCTTCAGGAAGGATCCCAGAGCTTCTGACCGAAGGGCACTGAGAGCTTGGGAGCCCAGCTGGAGGTGGAGGGTTCAGACACATTCCACTAGCTGCCCGGGGCGGGGGACCCGCCACCACTTCTGCTGAGTTCTCTGAGGATTTGTCTTTTTCTTTAAACAGACTCCAGCTGGTCACCAGTGTGGGCAGTTTCTGTGCAAGTTTGTAAACACAAACCAACAGGCAATGGGAGACTTGTTTGTAGCTTTGATACGGTTCATGTCTCAGGGCACCAGCTCCAGATAGACGGTACAAATCCCACATGGTTTTAACTAAAGAAATTGACCTCTCTGAGCCTCCTTCTGCAAAGGCGAGGCTAATGATATCAGCACCGCCTCGCCGTGAGCTGCGAGTGACCGTGCTCACACTTAGGAAGACTCAGTGAAGGCCAAGTAGTGTGATTTCAGTGACTCCTGCAGGTGTTTGTCAATCGACTTCTTCATGGTCGTCTGCACAGCGTCATCCACCCTGTCCCCTTTCTTCTGAACTTCTCCAACAGTTTCTGGATTCTAGGCTCTGGGAACCCAAGCACAGAGCAATGCATGACCAAGTCCCCTTCCTTTCCAGTGTTAAGTTCCTAGTGGGAAAGCTAACTCACAAGCACATGAGTGAGTGGACAGGACAGACTCACAGAGGTGTAAGTGCCTGCTGTGCGTGGATGCTGCTTATCTCTGAAAGTTTGGGTGCAGGAGGCTTGGGCCCCGCTGTGTCGGGATTAAAGGGTAAGGTCAGGGATTTGAGGCCAGTTCTTCGGGAACTTTGTCATTTCACTTGTGTGTGGCTTGGTTTCACTCCCTCGCTGTGTGGATCGGTCCTATGCCAGGTTCTCTGGATGGTGTGGAGAAGGGAACCACCTTATGCTCCTCAACTACCTGCAGAACCCTAGGGCAAATGGGCTACGTCAGCTCACCCAGCCATCACCAGGAAAATCCTAGCAATATATTTTGTGGCATCTTCCTGTTAAAATACAAAATCAAAGGTGTATCCAAACTACAAGTTGGGGTGTGGTAACTCCCCTGTGACTTCTGACATAGTCATATGCGATGTTTAAGCTGAGACCAGGAATAGATACACAGGGCTAAGTAGGTAAACTCATGCATACTAATAGTAACATTTAGTTAATTTATGCAATCTGTGAGTGAATAATTCAAAGTATCAGGAAACAGGAATCATGTACACCTCCCCTTGTGCCCGTAGGCAAATTTTTCTCTACGTTAGGTGCCAGTGTGTGGGCCCTTTGTTCTTGGGACATAGACAGGTTGAGATGACCTGGTTTTTCTTCCAAGTCTTTGCATGGATTTACATCGCCAGGCACCATGTAGAAGATCCCTGATCCTTCAGACCTTCCCCAGACTTCTGAAGGGTACAAACTCCTTCTCATTCTTGTGTTTCTCAAATGTGGTTGCAGGTTCTTTAGCTCCTAATCTTATTCCTTGATGTCTTCATGTGGATGTGGTTCGTGTGATAGCATCTATCTGTTCTTTGTTTTGTTATAAATCCTTCCACATTCTGAGCCAGTGAAGACTTTCTTCCATACGACCTTGTCAAATCTTTAAAGATCTATGCGGTGTACTTAAGTCCTTAAATTACAGGAAAGCATTTTTGTATAATAATGGAGGTGTTGCAAAGTCATGATCAGGACCTTATTAAGGTGTATTTTTCCCCCCACTGCTTTTCTATATGCTTTATTCAATTATGAGGTGACCATATTTGCATTGGTCTCCCTGAGTATCTTCTTGTCCAGTTGCTGGTTTTTTCAACAGCCTACACTCAGAATTCCCGTACGTTGGAGCCTGGGCTGTGGAAGGTGAGTATTCTGAGCACGGGGACCTCTGGATGGGGTAGAAAAATGCACAGGCACAGTGCCCTGAAGTCAGGATGACACCGCAGGTGAGGTCCCCAAGGAAAGGGGCTGCTGACAGCCACACGCTGTTCCAGAGCAGTGAGGCTGCAGCCTTGGAGAGAGGACAGTGGTCTTAGCTGGCAGCACTGACCACTTGGAGAAGTCTCCCTGCCAGGGCCTGTACCTAGAGCCGCACCCCCAAAAGGGAGCATGGCCAAGGCTCGAAAGAATAAGACCCACGGCATGGGTTTTGGGCTCTACTCATAGGCTTTTATTTCAGGAAATCTTTCCATTTGTTGGTCTTTGTGATTTTTTCTGGTTTCTTCATGCCAAACCAGAATTTGAAACGCAACATAGCTGCATTTCCATATAGAACATACCAAAAATTATATACATATAATATTATATATAGAGTATACCTAAAATTAATAAAAGTCTTAAAATGTCCCAGTACCCAATGTACCCTCAAAAATGTGGTTTCCTCAAGCCCGTGTTTTTCTCATCAAAAGCCATGTAAAAACTGTGTGTTAATTCATGCGTGCATCTTAGGCAATTTTATTTCATAATGATCCCATACATTCCCCCTAGTTAGGTCATTTCTTCTCTGGATGAGATGGATTTTTTTCCTGTAGGAAGCACTATAAGCCTGGCACACTGGGACACATTTGGAATCGCAGCTACGTGAGAGACCAAAGCAGGAAACCTACAAGGTGAGCCTGGGCATCTTAGCAAGAGCCTGTCTCACAATAAAATTTAAAAATGGCTCGGGGTGCAGCTCAGCGGTGGAGCGCTTGCCTGGCAAGTGCGAGGTCCTGGGTTTAAATTTAATTCCAGAAAACAGTTCTGCAAGCTGTGTGCATGCATTGGCTCATCCCAATGTTATTTTGCATGTGAGCAAAATTTAAGAGCGGGGCAAAGAGGACAAAGACACAGCGCGAGGACTGGCCTTCGGGGCCTCTTTCCTTCCTTGAGGGAAGCTGGGGCGAGGTTTCTGAGCTCACACGTTCAGATGAAGTTGAACACGCCCGGGTCCAGGGAAAGCTGGCTCAGCAGGGCTGTGGCTTCTCACACATCCATATTTTTCCAGTTATAAGTGGACCAGCGACCGGATCCTTGACGCATGTACACAAAACCATAGTGTCAGGTCTTCTTGTTCCCAGTTACTGTGACGACACATACACAGGTCAGTCGGGTTCTGTGATAACAGAACAGAGAAAAAGTACATCCAGCCCTTTCCTGGGTTCTCCCCGCCAAGGTCCCACCTGAAAATCTTCAGGCCAGCATCTGGGGTATTGGATATGTCCAAGAAAATCTCCATGCCACACGTTCTACTAGAATTCCTATGTGCTGGAACTACTCACAGTTTCAGGGAGGACTGTCGTGTGCTCACCAAACACTGCATAAAGTCCCTGTCTTCACTGACTGAATGCAAATAGCCACACTCTGCTGTGAGAACGGAAATACTCACAGGCAGCACGGTGTCACCCTAGAGGTCAAATAAGTTCCACTTAAGCGTTATGACTTTGTAACATCATCTAGTAAACTTCTCCCATCACAAGTGAAATGCCTGGATCCAAATAGACAAGTGAGTTGAGATCTCTGGCACTCTGGGACCTCAATTTGAGGAAATCATGCCTTTTGGCAAGGACAGATCCCCGCTGCATTGTATCCCCTTCTCCATGTGGCCCAGGTGAGGGCAGTGGCTGTCCACGCTGGGTGGCGTCTGCCCAGGACAGAAGGGAAATCGGGGAAGTTACAGAGGATCCTGGTTCCGAGCACCCCTCACAGTCCTTAGAGCTGACCAGAGCATCACGGTCCCCTCTCCACCCGCAGGAACTGCACAGGGCAGACATTCCCCATGGCCAAGATGAAGGTGGTGTTGGTGATGACCCTGCTGAGCTTCTGTGCCCTCCCCGATGATGTCGAGTCCATCAGGAAGCCGGAGCTGATCCTGCGCACAGAGAGTGGGCTGTGGCTGCAGATGGAGCCGCCGAGCTTGGGAGTATAGGCAGCCCTGAGGCCAGGCCTGGGACCCTGCTGACCCCGTCCTCCTTGGAAGACTCTTAAATAAACTGTTCTGTCACCCGTGTGAGCCTCAGTGCACATCAGCGGTGGTCCATTGGGCCCATGGGCGGGTGAGTGGAGGAGGAGGTGGACCCGGGTCTCTGCATCCAAGGCCCTGACTGCATCTGGCTGAGCACAGGGGCCCTGATGATGGGGTAGAAACTGTGGGAGGTGTTTGTGCAGAAGACAGACCAGAGTCAGCAAGCTTGAGACTGAACGGAAGGCAAGGTGCGTTGCAGCTGCCCTGTGTTTCCACCACCTTGACGTCCGTCTTTCTCTGCTAATACACGCATCTCTCCTCACTCTGGATTGTTGTTTCTGCATACTAAATTATCATATTTATTAACTATCAGTAGCCTGAAGCTGGTAGGACTTTCGTTGTTGTAGAATATGTGTGTGTGTGTGTGTGTGTGTGTGCGTGTGTGTCTTTGCCTGGGTGCCATATTTAAAGAATATAAACAGAATTTGAATAAGGCAGCTTTCCCTGGAGAGGAGCCCTTGAAGTCCTGCTGCTGAAAGTTAATGATAAATACAAGTTGAAGGTTTGTGGTGCTCTGTCTTGTCACCTGCAGTCTGAATTAAGATCTTTTCTGAAAAAAAAAGCCAGGTGTGGTGGCTCATCCCTGTCATCCCAGCAGTCAGGAGGCTGAGGCAGGAGGATCTGTGGGAGCTCAAGACTAGCCCAAGCTACAAAGTGAGCTCAAGCCAGCCTGAACTGCAGAGAGAGACCCTGTCTCAAACATAATCTTTTCTTAACTGCCTGTTCAGTTGTGTGTAGCAGAAGCTGTATCCCATCCAGACTCTTAGCTGCCCAGGTAATAGTTCCTGTTACGGTCCATGTTACTACTGTCTCTTAGAAATGACTGATCCCTGCGGTACATACCTGGTCACTATGATGCATATCATAAGAATCAATCAAAGACAGCCAAGGTACTCTTCCTTCTTGCTTGTGAATCCATAAAAACCTTCCTGCCCGAGTCTTCGGGGCCTGACAGCTTGAGGGACAACTGATTTTCTAGCAGCTCCCGTCTCACATTAATTAAATCTGCCACCAGATCCTGGTTGTTGTTTTCATGTTTCTCTTTGCTGTTGCATCCGGAGTGTCAGCTGGGAAGACCAACCATGCTGTGCTCTTCAGCCCCTGGCATGGCCCTCAGAAATGCAGCAAGGCCCTCTCCAGGTCCTAAGGGGAAGGTGTGCCCTCAGGATTTCTTGAGTCCCCTGGAAGAGGATTCTTGGTTCCTGACTCAGTATCTCACATGAGATCCCAAAGGGAGGAGAACACAGTCTGGACTGGTTTTCAGATAAAGCAAGACCTCCATGGGTACCCCAGTTAGTCTGTCATCCCTGCTTAGCTCCAACAGAAGGGGACTGATCAAATCTCATTAGGCAGGACCACATTTGAGGGAAGGGGATTGGAACGTTTAACCTCTGAGTGCCTGTTGAATGAATGTGTCAGTGAGTAGAAAAGATAATATAATCTATAAGCTGCTGCATCTGTGAACCAAGATAGGAAAGCACTGGTCACAGTGGCTGACTGGTTCCTCATCTGCTTTGCCCTGGCAATTGACATGTGACATAATGGATGCCTTGCACCCTACTTAAAAAAATTGTGCCTAAGTCCCCATGGAGGGTGTGGTGAGATGGGCATCTGAATGGTCTCTCTCTGAGGGGCCCCCAGCCTTTGTGTTGTGCCGTCATTCCAGGGCACACAGTGGCACACAGGAAGTCAGAGGTGGGAACTAATTAGTCAAACCCCACAGTCCCTGGCTGCAGGCAAAAGAGCTTTTCTGAGGTTTTGGAGTTGAAATGAAACCAAACCACTCAAAGGAAAAAAAAATAAAAGAAAAGAGAGGCCCAGTCTTCCTGAGAATTCTGCCTTAACACCCTTGTAGGCTGCTGCACTTGCCCCCAACACTTGTAGCTTCAATCCTGACTTCTGACTCTTCCGCTTGCAGATGGATTCCACTTCTTGTAGGGAGCGGCATGACACCCCATTGCTGCCTCCCCGCCTGCACCTCCGATGGGCACATAATGCGCCTGCCTACATTAACCATAATCCTCTCCTGCTTATGTCATATACCCGGATGTGACGATGACCCTAGGGGCTGGGGATTTAGCTCAGCGGCATAAGCGCCTGCCTTGCAAGCAGGCCGTCGTAAGTTCGATCCCTGGTACCGATAAAAATGAAAAAAGACAAAAAATGAAAAAAAAGACGATGACCCATCAGAAACCACCCTGTAGCCTCTTCCTGTCCCACCAGCCCGCCCTTGGCCCATAAAGGATGCAACCACTTCCCAAATAAGCGAGACTTGATTGGACTCCTCAACTTGTCTCCATCTCTCTTTGTCTCCCACCCTGTTTTATTCATCCCCATTCCCCCTCCAGGTATATACCCCACGGATTGATCCGTGGGCCGGGTCAACTTCTATTGAATTGATTCCACTCAGTACAAAGCTCCCCTCCTGTGGAAGGTGCTCTCTATAGCTGCTTCGGGACCCAGGCTCACCAGCATCACAGAACCTGAGCTCTCCACTGCCCTCTTCTCCCCTCCCTGGGTGCACTGGAGACTCAGAGAGGGAATTTTGTAGCCAAAACATAGAACTGCAAGTATCCCAGGTCCTTCAGACACTCCATTCCCAAAACCTGCCTCTGACATTCTCCTTCAAACCTATTTACTGAGAAAAGGCCTTTTAATCTGAGAACACTTACAACAGTAGAAACTCAAGCAACATGGGTGCCCCAGAGCAGAAGCATCCTAGGGCACTTTCTCTCTACCTGGCTTCTCCTCCACACCAAAGATGCTCCAGCCAACAGATCCTGTGCCCCCTGGATTCCACCCAGAATCACCGTCTGGAGCCAATTCAGATGAAGGAAACATTGAAGGCTCTGGTCCTGGGGGGGGGGTGCTGCTATGAAGGCAGTGTGTTAGTGGAACCCTAACCCTCCCTCTGCTGTCTGCACTATCACCCCCAACCCGGTGGCCTGGAGATTTAGGAGCTGATCATGGAGCCTCAGGAGGGCAGTGTGCACCACCCTCAAAATCCTCATGCCTCTTTGGGCTGATGTTACCTGCTGGCAGGGCCATCCATGTAAAGGTCATGGGCAATGTCAGAGTTTGGTAAACCAGGCTTTTTCCTGGAGTCACCCTAGTGGTTGAAGTCACTAAGCCCCCTGCAGATGTACTCCATCTTGTAGTCAGGCAGCTTAGGGTATGTGGGTTAATCCCCACCATGTTTCGTCTGCTTTGCCATTGACCTAATTTGAAGGCATTTAAATGTATTAGGCTTTGTCTCTTTTTTGGTACTGGGAATCAAACTCAGTGCCTTGCACTTGCAAGGAAGGTGCTTGTGCTGCTGAGCTATAGCTCTTCTCTTCTTTGTCCTCTTCTTTTTATGCACGAGGATAACAGAAGATTTCAACTGCAAGTTGCCTCTTTGGGAAGAGGTCCTGAGAAATACCAATAGGACAGTGGGAAGGTGAGGGGGGCAGCCAACGCAGAAGTGAGAAGGAGCTGGATGAAGAGAATCTCCAGCGCTCAGTTCTGCTGGGAGCTCAGACACAGACAGAACAGGACCTGCACCCCAGATCATCCCGCCCAGAGCCGGCATCTGGCCTGTGTGTCCACCGATCCCCTCATCAGCACCCAGGGCTGCTCCCAGGCAGTAGTCTCCTGCCTGCCCCGCCAGGGTCAGCCCTGGGGCCAGGCATGGGAATCTGACAGTGGCTCCAGCTGTGAGTACAGCCTAGAACAAATGGTCACAACCACGTGGTGATTCCAACAAACACACATGCACACGCTGGGCACTCACAGCGTGTAAATACAGACACAAACACAGGCACACACACATGGTCCTCGCCGTGGTCACAATTGCAATGTGTTCACACACGTGCAAACATGGAACAACACGTATGTACGTAACAGTTGCTGAAATGCTTACAGTTACATGGAAACCTACAAGCACTGAAAGGATGAAGGCCAGGCTCCGAAAGCCTGTTACCTCTCCATGTGGTCCAGCAGAGGCCCACAGCAGCCGGGGGCGGGGCCAGGCCTGGCTGTGCTGTGAGCGTGGGGAGCAGTCCTGGGGACCTGCAGACACCCACTCCCCACTCTCTCCATCCGCTTGTAGCCACGACCCTTGGAAGACTCTGGAAGCCTGATTGGAATGAGAAAGGAGATATTTAGCACCCCAGGCACACTTTGAAAGACCTATCCTCATCGGAAAACATTTTCTATTTTTTAAAAGAACTGGGAGTATGTGTGATAGAAAATTCACAAGAACTCTTTGCCATCTGGGGATTTCCAGTGACTCTTTTGCTTAGTGTCTTGGGGGAGAGGTTGGTTTAGGGGTTTGGGGTTTTGAGACAAGGTCTCGCTATGCAGTTCAGGCTGGCCTTGAGCTCACCTTGTAGCCCAGGCTGGTGTTGAACTCGCAACGACCCTCCCGCCTCAGCCTCCCGAGTGCTGGGATTACAGGCGTGAGCCACCACGCCCAGTAAGAAAGGTTTTCTGTTAACCCTAACCTTCAGGCCAGAATTGGCCGGGGTGGTAATTTCTCAGAAGGTTGTAGCTCCATTGAAGATACGGAATCTTCTGAGCCATTTTCTTTAATAGCAGGTCACCACCTTTTCACAAACTTACATGTATCCTTCCTGACGTTTTACACAGATGCACAAAAAGGGGACAAAATTAAGTTTTGTGGCCTGGGGGTGCTTCATGGATGCTTAAACCCTGTCACACATGCAGGATTGCTCCACTCTCACATCAGGCCAGGAAGGGGTCACCATGAGAAGGAAACTGAGGCTTGGCCAGATAAACCATGTCCCCCACCAGGACAGGCCGGGGTTCTCACCTTAAGAGTGTAGAACCATTGCCTCGGTCTCTGGGCTGCTGGGACAAAATATCTTACCTGGTGTTCTGTTTATATCTGGGTGTCTCCTCAAAGCCTCATGCACTCATGGACTGGCTTCAGGAAGAGAAGTGGACCGTGGGGATGCCATAGCTAAAGGTGATTTTGGAGGCGGGGCTGGTTGGGAGAGGGTCCCTCGGACATGACCTGGTAGCTTGCCTCCCCTCCCCCTTCCCCCTTCGTCTCCCCCTCCCCCCTTCATCTCCCCCTCCCCCTCCCCCTCCTCATTCTCCTCCCCCTCCTCAGCTTCTCACCTCTCTTTCTGCTTCCTGGGCACACTAGCATGAGTAGTTTCCTCCACCTGATCCTCCCCCCCGGGCCTCTGCTGGCTGCAGTCTGCAGGCCATGGACTGAAACTTCTAAAACATGACCCAAAATAAACTTCGTCTCTCTTAAATTGCAGGTGTCTGTGGCTTTTCCCCAGAGACAAAAAAGTGATTGGGAAAATGGGTCATTTATAAAAAATAGAAAGTTGAAGAATTCGCCAGGAAGCAACCCCTTCCTACAAACCAGCGGCATGCATGGGCTGCCCCCCAGCAGGGAGACACCCAGACTCCAGCCCCTCTGGGCACGCAGGCTGGCATACCAGAAGAACCAGTCTTCCCCGTACCCATCCCCTGTAAGTGATCTGGAGAAACACAGGCTGTGATGAGAGCTCTTGAGGAGAAATGCAGTTGGATGCCTGAGGTTTGGCGCTTCCCTGACCTTTCAAGTCTAGGGCCAGTGGTCTGAGCATCTGCTCAGAGGACAGTAGTACCCAGAGTGGCATCTAGCGGCATCTCCTTCTGAAGGTGGTAGCCATCGTTAATTCCCTGTTATCTTGGTTTGAGGTCCTGTATCCTTTTCACTGTCTTGTTGTGTTTGGTTTCCTTCCGTTTTGTTCTGTTTGATTTTGTTTTATCTAATGGCACAGGCAGCTATTATTTCAGAGCTAGCAAGATGTATGATGTAGCCATTTTGGACTTACTGTTGTCTTATCTGGAAGTCCTTTACTGCATTCATTATCCGGTTTTTCTTGGTTCTATTCTGCTCTGTCCTGTTTGATTTTTACTGTGTCTGAAGGTACCGGCAGCTGTTTCGAAGACAACAAGAGGCAATATGGTGACCATTGTCGGTTTCATACTGTTTTGAAGTCCTGTGCCACTTATGCTGGTCTGTTTGAATTGGTTTTATTCCATTTTAATTTCCTTGGATTTATCCTCTTTATAATAAAAAAGAGCAATCTGATACACTAACCGTTTCCGGCACACGCAGCACGTTTTGAAAGCCAGGACGGCACACGGAAAGCGGTCGGGTCTGCTCCAAAGGAAAAGCAGCTCAGTCCCCATTTCACTCCCCACACTGATTCCACCTGACATTTAATGTGCATTCTCAGGTGCTGTGGGTATGAACCTATGATAACAGCAGGTGAAAGAAATCTCCTAAGCCCACCTGTTACTAAGCGACTTCCCGAAGATCCATTTCTTAAAATACCTTTTATCAGCACCGCACCTGTTCACTGGGTAAAATGCTGGTTTCTGGGGTGGCGTCTTCACACTCGGGTACTCTGATCACATCCATGCTCCCGTTACTCCCCCTGCACCCCTCTCCCCTTCACTTCTTCCCTTCCTGTGTTTCATCAGATTCCCTGCTACTTTTGCACCATTTTTAAATTTTCCAGCTATCAGAGGAAACATGCAGTGTTTGTTCTGCCAGGCCGGCTTCTTCTGCTTGACCTGATTCTCTTCAGGACCTGCTACTTTCCTGCAAGTGACACCATCGCATTCCTCTTACGGCTGGGTAACACCTGCCCATCGTCATGTATTTTTTAATCTGTGCATCTGATACCAAGCTGCTTCTGTATTCCAGTTTGAGGTGGGCTCATAAACAATATAGGAATCTAAGCAGCCAAACTGACACATTTGGAATTTAATTAGCTGAGCTCAGCGACCACTCGCGTGGACTCCTGTTTCAGAGTCCCACCCAGTGGCTCTGAACTGGAAAATCACAAAGCTTTTAAACACAGAACCACAAAAAGACATCCTGCCGGAAACAGTTTAGCTAGACTCTTACACTGATTTTTGGTTGACACCTGTATCCTGCTTCTTTTGTTGAGCAGGTTAATTTTGTGTGTGTGTGGGTACAGCTCATTTTTTTTCCCTCATGGGATTGTGCTCTGAGTACTATTATTTTCCTGAGTCAAATACGGGGCACTGGTTGTATGTAGGGCTCAAGATGGCGTCAGTTATGCCAAGCTCTAACCAGCTGCCGTGTGTTGAGGCAGGAGACTTGCGTCCGCAGGTGTGCTGTCAGCTGTGCTGACTTTAGCTCCACCAGGTGCACCAGGTGCACGCCCAGGAGCGGCATAGCTGGGTCCCCTGGTGGCTCTATCTTTAGTTTTCTGTGGAACCTGGACAGTGATTTCCATACTGGCTTTTCTAATTTACATTAGATGTAAATGGCTCCTTCCCCACACATCGCTAGCATTTATGTCTTTCTGTTCTTCGTGAAAACCATTCTGACCGCTGCGAAATGGAAGCCCAGTGTGGCTGGGATTTTTTCCCATTGCTAAAGGTGGTGAACGTTTCTTCCCAGACTTACGAGCTGTTTGTACTTCTTCGAAGAAGGGTCTATTCCACTCGCTTTTGCATTTGGCTTGGGATACTTGGAGTTTTCTGGCACTAAGTCTTTTTGAGATCTTGTCGATATTCTACATACTAATCCTGTCAGGAGAGAAGCTGGCAAAGATCTTCCCACATTCTTCGAGCTTTTCCAGTTTCCAAAACTGAGAGTAGGAAACTTCTACTATTTTTAATTTTTTTTTTCATTTTAAAGAGAATAAAACAAAACAGACAAAGCAAATCAGAACAGAACAAAGCAGGCAACCCACATGAAAGAAAATCCACATGTAAGACTGTCTTACAGGACACTGAACACCAATCCACTCAGTTTGGCCTCCAGACAATATCACAGGCTGTTTTGCTGAACTGTGCATATCGGTTAGATGCTGGCTCACTGCTGGGTGCTCCGGACTGTCTCAGCGGCCTGAGCTGGCCGCCACAGTACAATATGAATGAGCTGAGATAGAAATATTTCCTGGGCGTTATGGAATATTGAAGAGGAAGAAATTGTTTTCTCCAAACTTCCAAAAGAGTAGGAAGCCTCTTGGGTGATACCAGAGGCGATGGCATTTAAGTGACAGGGGCTCAAATCAATAAAAGTTAGAGTAGAATGCCTGATCGTATCATGTCCATGTGTTGAGGTCAGCAAGAAGGAGGAGATGGACCACACATGAGCGGCTGGACCGTGGAGGTCGGGCTATACTCTACCTGGGGGAGCAACATGACCTTGTCTTCTTTTAGCAAAAGGCCTCGAATGTCATTTTGTTTTTGTTGTTCTGACCATCTACCCTGTTGGGCTGTAGACAGTGAATCAGGTGAGTAATTTTCTGGCTCAAGCAGCCTTGGCCTGAATCCAAATATCTGTTCAAGGTTAAATCGCAGCAGCAGCCCTCAAATGCTGGGAGGACCTGGAAAATGGTCAACTACCACCCAGAGGTGGCAGGCGGATGGTCTGTGGAGTCCAGCATGTCGCATAAGCAGCGAAGGGGTGAGGCCTTACTGCAGGCCTGAATGTTCCTGAGACGAACAGGCACAGGAAGGGGACAGAGGCAAAGCAGGAAAAGACCGAGGACTCAGGACAATGGGCAGGCTCCCTCCCTGCGCCTGGAGCTACCCAGGGCCCTCCGCCCTGCACCTACCCCACTACCTCGATGGGTCTCCTCTGGGACTCCAAGCCTCATCTTGTAACTGAGGTCCTGCCTGCACTCCTGCTCCTCTGCTGCACACGCGCCTCCGGCAGCCGCGCTCCCACAAGCAAAAGCACCCAAGCTTGAGCAATAGAAAATCCACCCCCTGCGGAAGCCCTGCGGTTAATCAGAGAGGTGGTCAGGGGTCGCCCTCCTCCAACCACGCCTACCCGTGCCTCCCCGGCGCCCTCTGCTGGCGATCGCTGAGGCTCACACAGGTGACAGCACAGTTTATTTAAGAGTCTGCAAAGGGTTGATCAGCAGGGACGCAGGTCCCGCCTTGGGGCTCACGGCGCACGCGCGCTCAGTGGCTCCACCCGCAGCCACAGCCCGCCCTCGGCGCGCAGGATCAGCTCCGGCTTCCTGAGCGGCTCTGTGGCGTCCGGCAGCACGCGGAAGCGCTGCAGGGTCATCGCCAGCGCCACCTTCATCTCGGTCATGGCGAAGGTCTGCCCGATGCAGTTCCTGCAGGCGGAGAGGGGACTGTGACCATGCTGGTCAGCTCAGGGACTGCGAAGGGCGCTCACGGTGCCAGGCTCCTAGGTGGGCTGCGTGTGTCCCCCAGCGTGGCTCAGATTCCAGTGCCCACTCAGATCGGAGGTGACCAATGAGGAGGGGCCGTGAGCCCATCTTGGGCCCTCTTGCACCTACCCAGCCCTCGTTCTCTACGCACGACCTGCACCAGAGTAGCTGGAAGCCTACTCGAACCCGGACCCTCAAAAACTTCCCCGATTTCCCTTCTGCCTGAGAGGACACCACCCGGTTCGGACAGCCACTGCGCTCACCTGGGCCCCGCGGAGAAGGGGATAAAAGCCAGAGGGGACCTGCCCTTGCTGTTCTCAGAGTCAAAGCGGAAAGGGTTGTAGACCTGGAGGAGACACCAAAGCCACAGGGAGAGGCAGATGCAGCTATGGCAGGGACAGGTTTCCCGACTGAGATCACACCCACAGTCTTAGAGGCCTCTGCAAGAAGGGGGGTCAGGGGCAGGGCAGGGCAGCACCTCAGGGTCTGGCCACACAGCTGGGTTGTGATGCAGCCCAAAAATACTGACAAGGCAGATGACACCTGTGGAAGAAGAGGAGACTGTCAGGACAAGGCCCTGCAGCTAGACGGACCCTGCCCCTGCCTCCTCCCCTGGGGCACCTTTGGGGATGACCCGGCCATCCGGAAGCACAATGTCCTGGGTGCAGCAACGGGAGGCAACTAAGACCGGGGGGTGCAGGCGCAGACTCTCTTTGATGCACATGGTCAGGAAGGGCAGCTGGGCCAGGTCATCCCTAGAGAAACCAGAGCCCACAGCTGTCCAGGGAGGGAAACACAGCCCACTGCCTCTGGGTTTCACAGGGAAAACTTTCCTCCATGGAATAACATCATCCCTCGATGCACCACGCAATGGATTTGAGAAAAGGAAAGGACCAGAAAAGTGTCCCCATCTGGGTCTGTGCTACCCCTAAGACAGTGAGCTCCTGGAAGGCAGAGCCCGGGCTGGGCCTTTCTTTCCCAGCTCTCTGGAGCACTGAAGCACACACTTGGGGGTGGGAGGGCAGGAGGAGCATTTGCTGCATGAAGGCTGCATGGGCCATGACACAGGTGTGCTGGATGATGAACAGACGACGCTTACCACCAGGTGGCCCTGTGACGCCCTGGATGGGATGTTAGAGCAGGAACTCAGGGGCAGGAGTGTTGGCCACACTGTGAAGCAGCTCTGAGCAGGATTTAAATTGTACTGATTGGCTTCCTATGTTTATCTGTGAGTCTGTCCAGGCCTTGGCCCCTTGCCTGGTGACGGGAGCTGATTCACAGTAAGTGAACCTCAGTGAATCGCTGGTCCTGGCTGAGGCCTGTAGTGGCCTGTGAGGCCAGAGATACCTCAAAGGGCAAGACAAGGCCACAGCTGCAGACACTCTGGTCCAACCCCAATTAACAAGGTAGAGACTGCAGCTGCAAAGATTACTCCTACAGTCTCACTCCTCCCATGTCTTCATGATAAGACAGTTCTCCTAAATGGACTTGATTCATGACTTGGAGATGCCTGTGAAGTGACTCCCAAGGTCCTGCTCCTTGCCTGTGCTTTCCTCAGTTTCCCTGTCCTTTGTTTTGGACCTAATAAATATGGGCGGTCCAGGGAAGTCTTCATCTTGGCCCTCAGAGTCTGGAACTCAACTAGGGTTTTTGATCTCTGGAGGCCTAACATCATACCACTTGTCTCATTTATTTAAATCTTCACCATACACTCATTTGAAGATTGGGGATCTAGGTCAGGACCTGATACAGAGTCCAGCAAACCTCCAGGAAGGCAGAGCAGCCAACAAAGGGCATTTGACAGAAAAACAGACAAGGAGGTGCGAAGCCTTCACTGGGCCTGTGGGAAGGGGCATCACCCCTCACACACTGTCACTACGTTTCTCAGCAGCCCAGGTCCTTCTGTCCCCAAACCTTCAACCTTCACCTTTTAGCCAGGCTGGGTGCCAGGGCCTGTCCCCGGACTCAGATGCTAAACTCACAAGACAGTAATGGCAGAAACAGCAAACAATAACCCGTCTGCCCCAGCCGGAGAGCACAGCCAGGAAGGGGGACTCAGGAAGAGCCCATAAGAGCCTGCACTCACCATTCAATGTCCTCGGGCTCGCGGCCCCTCAGGACCTCCTGCACCTCCTGCCGGCAGCGCTCCTGGTATTCTGGGTGCTTGGCCAGGTTGTACAGGACCCAGGAGAGACCACTGGCCGTGGTGTCGTGGCCTGAGAAAGAGCCAGGCAGGCTCTGGTCTCTGAGCTGCTTCAGCACCACAGGGTGGACAGCGCCCAGCCATTGAGACCCGGGGAGGAAGCAGGCACAGGATGGAGAGGAGATCCGGGGCCACCCGCCTCCTTCCTGGGCTGGGGAGACCCGTGCACAATCTACAGACCCACCCTGGGACCCTCACCTCCAAACATGACGGTGTTGGCCTCTGCCCGTATGTCCTCATCTGACAGCTCTTTTCCTTCTTTGTCCTGGAGAAGAGCAAAACCTCAAATATGAGTGTCTCTGGGAGGTGCTAGGTCCAACCCAAGACAACTTATGAAGATCGTTCTACTAAATTTAAAATCTGCATTAAAATTGCCAGAGTCCCCACCCCGCAGACATCGCCCCTGGCTTTCTGGTCTCTGTTGCAGCAGTCGGTGCTCGGTGTGTTTTTTCATGTTTCAGGGAGCTGAGGGACGTCTGAGAAAGTGTTAAGATGAATGTGCTTTTTACAGAGTGACCGGATGGCAATTTGCCTGCAAAGTAGAGAGCATGCATCCTGGCAAAGGTGTTTATTCACGTTCCTGGGAGATAAATCCAGAGAATCCTATCACCCTGGAGACGTTTGAGTTGCACCAAAGACAGCTTGTTTATATCCCAGAGCAACGTGCTCGGCCTCCCGCCCTCTGTATTTTATCTTTCCTTTCTCTGCAGCCTGCTCTGCTGTTACTGTGGAATAAGTGGGCTGCCCGATCAAAGCATTTCATGCCCCCATCAATGTAGGCTTAAATATGGACGCACCACAGCACATTATCCTACTCCAGTGACTTCCAGAGTAAAACCCCAAGCCCTTCACGGCTTCAGACTTAAAGTCCTGCTTGGGGCAGCTTCCCGGAGTCAGAGCTGAGCTCGGCCCCTCTGGCTCAGGCTTCTTTTCCTCCAGGACCTCTGGATCTAGCAAGGCGGTTCGAGCTGACACTGACGTGAAGTCCTGTTGCATCTGGTTCCGACCATCTCTCCACTGCTTTGCTCTTTCACTATTTGTGTTTTAGAATTTCTCTTCTAAGAGAGGCCAGGTGATGACTCGCCTCCTGTGTCTGATTTAGCTCATTTGCCCTCATGATCATGAGATCTGTCCGCTCTCCTCCAAAGACTCAGGCTCCTCCTTCCCTAGGACAGAGCAGGGCTCCACTGTGCACACGCCACACTCTCTTTGTCTGTGTGCAAGTTCACAGGAATCTAGGCTGTTTCCGAAATGTAGCTACTGAGATTCGCACTGTGATCCACATGGCTGCATCCATGCAATGTGACATGGATTTAGATGTTTTAGATGGAGAAACTGATTCGATCAAGGAGAAAGAGTGCGGGCTGAGAGTAAGTGTATTAAAAGTGATCAAGAATATATATATATATATATATATATATATATATATATATATATATCCCAATTCACCAGCCTAAATGAAACTATTATGTGTCACAAGTGTATATTTCTTCCTATGATTTGAGAGCCCACCTCGTTCATCAGGAGCACATCAATGAAGTCCAAAGTTTTGGACTTGGCCTTGGCCTTGAGGGAGTCATCAGTTCCCTGATTCTTGAGGGTGCGACGCCGCTCCTGGATGACGGCGTCTGTGAAGTCGTGCACCACACGGCAGGCCCTCCGGAAGCGCTGCCCATCGGGGCTGAGGTGGTACAGGAAGTCCAGGTGGAGAAGGAGCTGCTGGTGCCGCTTGGCCACAAGGGCGCTGAGCTCCAGGATGGCTGCAATGTATTCGCTGGGCTTCCTGCAGGGCGAAGGCATAAAGGGGGAAGCAACTTGGCAACCTGAAGCCAGGCAAGCACTTCACACCCCGAGCTGTGAGCCACATCCGTCAGGAAACCGAGTATCTGCAAACTCGTCCTCACAGGCACAAGGCAGGGATGAGCCGTAGGAGCTGAAGCCCACAGTCTCATCTCTCTCTGTGTCCTAGCTCTGTGAGGTTCCCCTAGACCCTGGTACCCAGGGCCCATGCTGAACATCATCTCCTCTTCTCTCCTACCAGGGTCCACTCTTGCCCAGTCACCTCTTGTGACCCCCACAACTCAGACCAAATTCTTTTCCATGTGACCCCGTGCCCTCCATGCCCTCCTTGTGACCAGTGTCCACTGCATCCACTGTGTGCTGTGGTCATCCCCCACATCACCCCAGGCACCTTCAGGGCTCCCTGGTAACTCAGGGCAAAGTTCTCACCACTGTCCTCCAGGGCTACATTTCCTGTGCCTCCAAGCTCATCTCCAAGGTGTCTCCTCCCTAGGTGACCCACAGGCACTGCCTGTCGAAGCCCTTTGGCTCTACTTAGTCAAGCCCACTCGCCTGGAAAGAACAGTCCATCTCCTCTTTCCTGTCATTTAGTGTCAGGTCCGACTCTCCTCTTCCAGGAGAATCAAACTCTCCTGCCCCACCTCCCCCCTTGGCTCCCTGGCCCAGGGTCCCAGCCCAGAAAGGACTCACTCCTGGCAGTTGCTCTCAAAGCTGAACACGCATTTCTGCAGACTGTCCAGGGTCATCAGGCTGATGTGCTCAAACATGTCCAGCCGGGTGCTGCCCTGGGAGATCAGGCGCTGCCACTTGGCCTGGCCGGAGATGGGAAGGAGGCTGTGACTGAGCCCTCTCCAAGCCCAACTACCAAGACGGATTCCCCAGAACCCGCTTCCCGATCCTCTGCTCCAGTCACCCAAGCCCAGAGAGGACCAGGCCTGGATGGGAATGAAAGGCATCACCGTGAGGAAAGGAGCCCCCAGGACGTGGGGAAAGGAACCCTCAGTTCACATCTCAGCCCTGTGTCCCGCAGGTATTTGGGCCTTGGTCAGCGTGTTGCCCTCCCGGGGGTCCCACGTGGCAAATCTTCAGCCACAGTGCAGCCCAGCTCCTCTGGTGTCAGACCAGGGTGTCTCTGCTTGGTCACACTTGGTTCACTTACCAGCTGCACAAACCTAAGCAGGTCCCTAATCTGTCTGACCTTGATGTTCTCCATCTCTAGTGAGGCAAAAATAACTTCTCTCTTACATGTGGGGAGAGTGAAATTTGACAGCATGTATCATGAATGGGCGTGTGGCTTCATTTCTAATACATGAGACTGCCAGGTAAACCTCACCTGGCCTGTTTTCCTTGTGATAACTCAATGAAATGCCCCCTCCTGAAGGATAGTGGCCCTCTGGCAGCGAGCATGCTTCCTGCTCCGACAGGAGCACCTCCCACGGATGTTCCTAACGACCTCTGTGGGTGTGCATCTTCCTGGGACCAGGTCAGATGACTTGGAAGAGAAGCAGGGAAACGAACTGCTTCCAAGCGCCTGCCGGGGGCCAGGGATGTGATTCTGTTACACCCTCAGCGCCACACTGGGGGTCTGTGTTTCCTCTCCACTTTATAGATGGGAAGACACACACTGATACAGAAAGAGCAGTGACCTTAAAGAAGCCATCAGAGCCAGGACTCTCGCCCTGATCCGTCTGGGGCCCCTTCTCCCTCCAGGCTCCAGCAGGGACCCTGGGCACAGGGACTCACATGCATGACATTCATGCTGTCAGTGAAAATCTTCACGTAGGGCTTCAGGATGTTGAAGTGGAAGGCGGGCGTCAGCATGCGACGGTGGCGGCTCCACTTGTCACCAGCACTCAGCAGGAGCCCATCCCCTGCGGGGCAGCCGTGGGCAGTGGGCAGGGGCAGCTCCTCCCCTGGGCCCCCGGGCTGTCCCCGAGCCCCTTCCCCTGCAGGGACTCACCCAGCCAGGGCTTCAGGAACCTGTAGAAGACTGAGTCCTTGGGCGCCACCGCAGCTGACATGAAGAAGGGACATTGAGGGCCACGGAGGGGAGAAGATTCCCAGTCATGGGGCGAGGGACTTGGAGGCTGCCGCTCAGGGGTCTGCGCTTCCCCCTCCCCAGCCCGGCATGGCAGGGAGGGACCCAGGGACAAAGGAAGCTTGGGTGAGAGGGGACATAGGTGGGGAGCGAGCTAGGCGGCAACAGAGCAGAGCAAAGTCACAGCCTGACGGAGCCCCGCAATCCCAGCACACCTGACTCAGCTCTCACACGGGCCAAAGCGCTCTGCAAGCACCAGCCACAGCAAAGGCTCTGCAGAGATCTTACAGAGCCTGAGGACACCCTGTCCACCTCTCTGTGTCTGACACCTCCTGCCAGAGACCCAGGACATGCACCGTGGACATCTCTTGACATGACCACAGCACTCATGACCTTCCTGGACACGACAGGGCTTGCTCTGGTATCGATCAGGGATGGTATGCAATGACTTCAGGATGACCCACAGACAGTGCCACAGACAGATGGGCCCAAAGTGTGACTCTAACGTGAGAGGTAAAGCCCACCTGAGACCCAACTGAGCTCGGACATCACATAGTTGTGCTTTGATATCCGCCCTAGACAAAAATCAAAGGAAACCCCAGACAACCCCCAAATACGGCCCAAAAGTGACCAACAGGATAAAAAGTCAATCTCAGACAGCAGCTGAGACAGGAACCAGAAAATCCCTAAAATACCCCCAGTGTTCTTAGATATTGCTGAGTCCCAGACACGGAAATCTTCATGAGATCCAAGGTGTAGATCAGGTACCACCAGGATAATACATATCAGCTACACCTGGCATCCAAGTGCAGAAATAACTTTGTGACAAGACTTGGCAATACGTCAGACATGCCCTTACGGCAGCCGTCACAAACACACTTTGGAGCAAAGCTGACGAGACAGAGCACAGCCTGGCGGGTTCAGCTGAGGCAGAGGGAGGGTGCATGGCCACAGCCCCTCCCGCCTGCACGGGTTCACCCAGTCAGCTGGAGGCAGCACGGAGGCTTCGGGACAGGCAGACTGGGGTGCTGCGGTGTCTACCTGGGGCCAGGAGCACAGGCTTGATGTAGGAGGGGTGGAAGAGGCGGACGACAGGGCTCCAGGGCCCCACCCACCAGCAGCACACAGTCCCATAGGTGCGTGCCAGGCCCTGGGTGTACAGGAGACCTTCCTCTGAGCTCTGAATCTGCAGAGGACAAGAAGACCCAATGCACACTCCTCTCGGCTCCCCCTGGGGGGACGTGTGGTGCAGGGACCCAGATGGAGCCCTGGTGTCACCTGCAGCAGCTCAGCATCTATGTGCCGAACACCTCCTGGGCTCTCTGACCTCATTCCCAGATCACAGGAATCCAGCTCCCTGTGCTCCAGGCACAGAAATAGTCCTGCCCTGTTTGGATCCCAACAGCACTGTCACAGGGTTCTCTTCTAACCTGGATAAAGGCACGGAGGCTCTGAGTGATAAACACATTATCCCCAGTGTCTCCCAAATGCTAAGTTTTACCTCTTAGTTCCAATTCTGGGTCTGTCTGAATCATGGAGTAAGTTCTTAGCCATTACACTGCTTCCCGTTCCCCAAAACCATAGCACCGGGAGCCCCATGCCTGCCAAGCCAGGGCAGAGTCACAGGGATTCCATGAGGAGTTTGTGCTGTGATCCCGGACAGGACCTGTGTCCCAGGGTCATTAATGAGAACTCAGGAGGACACGTAGGCACCTCTCCTGTGGGGGGTTCAGTATTGGTCAACCTGTGACCCCCGGCAGAAGGAAGTCAGGGCGGAGCTGGGTGAGCAGGGTCCACGCAAGGACAGCTTCCAGCAGCGCACAGGCGAGCGGGAGGGGACATGGCGCATGGTGGTTCTCCTGGAGAAGCTTCTCGCACTGGTTTCCTGATATGAACCTGGCTCTTCTCACCATCGGAGAAGCTCGGGTCCTCACTGGCCCTGAGGATGGCTGTGGTTCTCTTTCGGGGAGCCCTGGTCCTTACCTCAGCATCGCCTCTTGTCTCCAGGGCAGAACCCCCAGCCTGCTGGCCCAGCTCCTTCACCCCACTGGAGCAGACTTTCCAGCATCCACTGCTGTGCTCCGGGCCTTCCCAGAACAGATCCCTGATACAGACTTGCATGGGACATTGCCGTGGCTCTCGGCCTTCAGCTGGACTCCTGTAGGACACTGCCACGGGGTCCAGGCCCTGGGCTGGATTCCCTGGGTGTCTGGTGCATGGAGAGATTCCCTGCAGCCTTCTGCATTTGACTCTTTGAGTGACTATTATAAAATAATCCTATAAATCATGTATCTTGTATTAAATCTTTTTCCTTTTAAACCCTGACTTCAATACCTACAAAGCTGAATTTCTTGGACTTATTCTGTAGACTGTGAGGTGAGGGGTACCTTGAAAGGAACAGTGACATCTCAGAAGGTCAAACTGAGAGGAGACGGGTTCTTGATGACACTGTTGGAGGCCTGGATCCAGGCATCGCCTGGACACCCCACCCCTGTGCACTCTTTACAGTCAGCAGATTTGTTTCTTTATGTAGAACACAAGGTGATGAGTTTCTACCACTCACAGCTGAAAGACATCTTGGCATCTAGAAGGAGCCCGAGATCTGCAAAGTGTCACCCTGCATTTGGGTGCCAGAGCCATGTGCTGTGAGATGCAGCCACCTTCCTACTCAGCCCAGTCTCTGTGAGGGCAGCAAAGGCAGAGGACGAAGCCAGGGTAGGCAGGAGTGTCCCAGGCTCAGGGGACAGCCTGTGTCTGCAGGACAGGCCATAGGATAAGGTAGGAGGGAACCAGGCTGGCAGAGCTGGGTGCCAGGAGGACGACACCCCAGACCTCACGCCAGCCGCTAACAGTCCTCATCGCTCTGGGTCTGACGGGCCTCAGATGCTTCTGGTGTGCAGGAAACCACAAGCACCTGCTCCAATGTCTTCCTGTGCAACTTTCCAGAGCGTCCTCAAGCAACTCTTCCTCCGGGAGGCCTTCCAGCCGCCCCAACAGAGCCCTCACCTCTGCACTCATGACCTACCTCCTCTGGCCTATCCCTGCCCCCCTGAGGTGGGGCCTGTCTCTGTCCAGGTCCATCTCCCCAAAACCGACAGTTCCTTCAGGACAGGACTTTGAGATATGGCCTCTTGGAGCTTCAGGACTGCCCGGAGCACCAGGATAAGGCTGGGCCATGATGGGAGAGGAAGAAGGTGGCCATGGGGACACGTGAGCAGGTACAAGTCAGTGGGAGGAGGAGAGAGGAGCCAAGATACTGCGGGGGCTCCGGAGATGGATGGGGGCAGGGTGGGAAGCCATTGTGTGAAGCCCTATGTGGGTGCCTGAGGCATTCAGGACAGGTCACATGATGTCGGGTGACACAAAGTGACCAGGGGAAGGATGGAATCCATCCAGACCACAAAGCCCTGGGAGCGGTGCTCACCAGTTGAGTTGCATCCTGCAAGCCCTGTTCTGTGGGAGGGCCCTGAAAACACGGAAGACATGGGCACTTCCTGAGAGTTTGCCCCAGAAGTCGAGGCAGCCAGGCAAAGGGACACCCAAACATATGGCGAAACAGGAAGCCAGTTGTCTGCAACGCTGTTTGCAGAACAAATCGGCAGTCACAGCAGTGTAAGGTGTAAGGCATCCTCCAGTCCACTGAGAACCAAGTAGGACAAAATAAGCAGAGTGAGGAGAATGCACCCCGAGTCTAGGAGTTTACAGGGTCGGCCCCACCCTGCCCTGTGTGGTCAGGACTTTGGAATCACATGGATGCATCACAGGACCAGCTTCCTGGGTCTGCAGTTTGCAGGTGGCAGATGGTGAGACTCAGCTCCACAGTTACATGAGGACACGGGAACAGCTGCACATTTGCATGCATGTAAATATAGATAACATCGCCTGTGTATGAACCCAGTGTGTCCACAGTGTATATACAATCATTTGCTATGCAATGATCCTTGTGTCACTGACACGCTGAGATTAGTCCCATAAGATTATAATGGACCTGAGACATTCCTCATCCCCGGTGAGCTTACTGTCAGGTTTATGTTTAGATCCTTTTAAATGCACAAATAGCACTGTGTTAATGGCTTGCGGAGCCAGCCCTGCTCAGCTCTGTGTATGTGCCCACACCCACAGCTTGTCCCCCACAGCCCAGGTGTGTAGCAGACGACACCACCTCCACGCCTGCAGGGCACACTCTCGTACACTGCCTCAGGGAAAATGTGCCCCAGGATCGATTTCTCAAAGCCAGTCCTGACTGTTCCATGACACAAGACCCTCGGTGTCTGTGTGTGTAAGTGTGTTTGTATGCATGCACAGACCACTGGCTCTCTTGTGCTGGAGAACCGACCAAACAGCTATCCTAGGAGCCAAATGGAGGCCCCTTCAGCCTCTGAAGGAATCAGTCTCTGCAGTGACAGGCGTCTGGACTTTGAGGACTTTGAGGAAATGAGTGCCAACTCTTAAGCATGTTTGGGGACAGGGCGCGTTGTGTCATGTTAGGGGAAGAGAGTGAGGGCAGGTGAGGGTACCGGGGAGGGCAGCGGGGGGCAGCCTGTAACCCTGTGAGGGGCAGATGTGCCCTGTACTGCTTGAGGGAATCAAATTTCGCTGCTGTGAAGAAGCAAAAACCTAGAGATGGGCTGACCTGAGGACACAGTCCAGGAGCAGCCCCTGGACAGCGCTGCTCCCGGGCCTCAGGTCCAGCTGCAGAGAGCGGGGGAACACCAGGGGCTCCCTCTGTGTGGAGCCCACACTGAGGCCCCCAGTGTGGGGAAACCTGGCATGAAATGAATCTGAAGCGGACTATGAACGGGAGGACAGAGAGGAAGGACAGGTTGGGCGGTGCCGTGGAAGGAGTCACCCACAGGACCGAGCCACACCTCCCGTGCTTCCCTGCTGCCCCCGACCAGGACCTCCGCTGAGCCCCAGCTCCCTGAGCCCCATCCTGATCCCTCGGAGCCCCTCCACCCGGTGCCCGGACCCTCCTGCTGCCTCACTCACCATGCCCAGGTGACCCAGAAGCCAGTTCCTTTTGGGGGGCTGTGGGAAACATTGAAGGCGACCAGAGTTTTCATAGATGGTGTAGATGCGGCTCAGAACTCGGGCCAGGAGCCAAGAAACCCCAACCAGAAGCCCGATCAGCCAAGGGGAGGCTGCCACGGGCCCCAGGCCCAGCCAGGCCAGGCTCAGCTGTGTCATCCTGCAGGGCAGAGAGAATGGGGTTCCTGAGGTCTGGGAAGGGGATGGCGACCCCCAGGGATGCTGACAGCATCAGAGCTGTGAGATCCCAGAGAGACGGCCAGCGACTATTTCCCGGAAACCCTCCATTTCCCTGTCCCCATCCCTGCATGGAGCCCCCTTCTCAGCTCCATGCAACCCCTTCCCACCTGGACCAGGACCTTCCAACCCACCAGCCCTCCTGTCTTACCTTCTTTCCGCAGGAATTGCTCACCTAGCTTCTGAGACTTATTTATCTCTGGCTGCTGACACCATCAGGGGCTGCGCCCAGCTGAGCTATGCCAGCCAATCCCCTGCCTCGGCTGCCCCCTTCCTGCCTGGGCAGGAGGCCACGACTTGGGGGCAGGGAGCTGGGTGCAGAGAAAAGTTTGTCACCCCAGAAGCACACAGCACTGACCTGGACGCTTAGAGCTTGGGGTGAAGGTGAGGTCGTGTGATGGGAAAGGTGACTCTGAGCCCCTGAGTTCACAGCCACCCCCTCCTTTCATGGCCTGGGGGCAGCGGGTTAAAGGGCACACTGGAGATTTCAGGTGCCACGAGAGTGGGACCAGCCCCAGCCTTGTCCTAGCGCATCTGGTGACCTTTCCTCCAAGTGTAAAGAGTTTGTGTGTACAAACTGTCCCCTCAGCCCCCTCGGGGGAGTGAGACCCAGCCCCAAAGCAGCAACCACAGGAAGCTTCGTTCCTCAGTTATGCAGAACGGAATGCGGATGTGAAGCAATTTATCTGGGTCTGCGGGAAGCAGAGGCAGCCACACTGCAGACTCACAGCAGTGAGCAAATCAGTCGCTGGTGCATCTGAGCCCCCACAGCATGTAGGGTGGGAGGGTCCGTCCTGGAATGCACAGCATGGGCAGCTCCGCTGGCTGCAGTTGCCGGGTCCTGGCAGGAGTGCCAGGCGATCTGTGAGCTCCTTTGGGAGATCGAGGCACAAAGAAAGATTCAGGGTCTCATAAGAGTCAATACCAGTGTCCCCTTGAGGAGTTTATTGGGGGTGACCGTGCTGAGGACTGGCCAACCTCCTTTCCCCAGACACTGCTCCCTGAAGCAGACAACTCAGGGTCCAGGGGCCACCCACGTGCAGGGGCCTCCAAACCCAGGGCAGGAGACCACTTCAGGGACCTACACACAGGACACAGAACGTCTCTCCTCGCTGTACATCTGCTGAACCAGTGGACAGGGAAATGTCACGCAGAGAACTGAGGGAACCCTCCATGCACACGGCAGGGCGGGGGACCAGCACTTGTGCAGGGTAGCTGACGGATGACAACACGTGGGGACCTTTGGGTGTCTGCCTCTGTTCCGTCAGGTCCAGTGAGGGGAGGGCGGTTTGATCAGTGAAAGTCATCCCATCTCATCAGAGGGGCTGGGGATGCTGTAGTTGTAACATGAATCATCTCCTGATGTGGAGTCTAATCCTATCAGAATGTACCACAAGGGTGCAAGCGAATCCCAGCTGTAGGCTTCACGAGCAGTGTCTCTGGGAGGTAAAGAGAATTAGACATGGCCATCGGAGTGAGGGCCCCAGCGCTGAATATTGATAGTTTTATAAGAAGGAAAGAGAACAGAAGATTTAGACACATTTTCCTTGTCTCTCGGTGTATGCTGCCTCCTGTCCCAGAGAAACTTGGCCAGCAGCAAAGTCATCAGAAGAAGGCCTTAGGTCAGGATGGTGAGCCTGAAGAAGCCCCTATTCTTTGTAATTTAACAGCCTGTGATACAGCACGATTACCAACAACAAAGGGTCTAAGACAGAAAATGACATCTGTCCCCTGCCCTGGTCTTTCCACCGCAGGTTCTTCTTCAGCCACTGCTTCTCCTCCTAGATCAGGAGCAGCTCCTCCCTGGTCACCCGCCTGGGCTGGGGCAGCTCCGAGGTGACGCTGTCCGCGGCTCCTGCATAAGGCTTCATGGTTTCCCAGGACACCTGTCACCCCCTCGATGGTCTCCTCCGAGGTCCTGGCCTGCTACCGGCCCACCAGAATGGGATCCCCCCGCAAACCGACCTCAGGGCCACTAACATTTATATGAGCAGGCCAGACACTGCACCCCGCTGTTGAAATGGGAGAAAGAGAAGTGAAAGATAAATATTTGTTCTACGCGTCTGTCGGGGGAGGGACACAGTGTCGGACATGGCTGGACTGCTGTCGGGGGAGACCATCCGGTGAGCCTGGCCTGGAGGATTTCAGGGGTGGGGACGTGAACTGAGGAGAGGCCCGAATGTCGGCAGCACCTCGATTTTCTCTCCCTGTGCCAGTCTGGCCCCTTCAGTGCCACTTGATGGAGGAACTAAAGCAGCTGGAGACCAAATGTGAGTGTCAGCTGGAACCCGGGGCTGCCTCCCCCGTGCCACACGGCTCATGCCTCCAACACCTGCCCAATGTTCCATCGCGGGTCTGCCAGTGTTGCAGGGAGTGGCGGATGATGGACACAGATGGGACACCCTGCGCGGGGAAATGTTCCGCCTCCTGGAGGACCTGTGGGCAGGAAAAGGTACGGAAGCCAGAGGAGAGGTTAGGTGGCGGGCAGTGACAGTGTGCCCACCCTCCTGCTCCGTCCCCTGGAGCGGGGACACTGATGATCTCAGCTCCTGGTCAGTGTGCGCGCCCCCTGCTCTGCTCCCCACCAACACCTAAGGGCGCTGTCCGTTTCCCGCACTGCGGACAGTGGGTGGGTCGGTGAGATGCATTTTACACAGCACCCCAATCGTAGCTGCAATGGGTGCACAGTCTGAGGCACCCTGCAGCACGCTCTGTCTCCCACTGGTGTCTGACCCACGGAATAGACACGCGGGAAGCAAAAGCGTTGCTTTGCAAAGCGTCAAAGATGCACGAGGTGGGCCCAGTTCACATCACCGCACTCAGCTCACACACCAGCGCGGCTCCCAGCCCTGGCGGAGCTGACCCGCGTCCCCCTTCTGCAGCGTCCTCCTGTGAGCCCTGCCCCGAGGGCTGGCTGGCGTTTGAGGGTTCCTGCTACAAGTTTCGACAGACCAGCGCCACTGGGATGACGCCAAGGACCGCTGTTCTGAGGAGGGGGCTCATCTGGTCATCATCAATAGCCCAGAAGAGCAGGTGCAGTGAGATGCTCTGGGGATCCCGGTATCGCTGCCAATCGTACCCCAGCCCCGGGACCACCCTCTGCAGAGTCTCCATCCTGCCCTTCACACTAGGCATCCCTCGTCTCTGCGTGCACGGCCGGTCACCGCACATTTGTGTGCAGGTTCTGAGCGCCTAGGGCTTTCGGCCTGGAATTCCCGTTTTTCTTTTGTGTATGTGGGAAATGCTTCCTCCTCCTTTAAAAGCAAGATTAAACACGTTCCCCCGGTACCCTTCCCCACTCTCTCTGTCACACCACACACACCTAAACCGTCTGCAGGGTCATGGTGCGTCCCCCACCTGCAAGGACTCTCCCAGGCCAAAGGCTGAGGGCACCTGGCCTCGGAATCTGCAGTGCCTGGAACCGGGCTAGGCACTCAGTGGGATTCCCGAGGGTCAGTGGAATCCAGCTGACTCACCGAAGCAGCTACCTGGGCTTCTGTAAATACCCTTCGGGGCTACTCTTTATTACCATTGATCCAACAAGGCAACTCACTGTAGTCTTACGCTTTTACTGAACCTGGCAGGCAGCTGCTATATTTATTGCTATTTTATAGACAAGCAGCCTGAGCGTCTCAGCGACCTATAATTTGGTTAACCATCAACACCTTAATGATGGTACAAAGGGCTGTCGGGACAGAGCCTTCAGCCAGTGCACTCGGCAGCTACACTGGACAAGGTCCCTTGCCCAGAGGGCTCACTGTGTGCTGGGCCCTGGTGGGAGACCAGCTCAATCCCAGCCCCCCTAACAGCCTCGTCTACTTACTGACTGAGCACGCCTTCTCCCCGTGCAGAACTTTCTCCATGTGAGTACAGGGAATGTGGCCTCCTGGATTGGCCTCAGGAGAGAGTACCCCACGGGCCCATTCATCTGGCAAGATGGCTCCGTGCCCTCCTTCACGTAAGTCTCTCTGTAAGGACTCAGGAGCCCTCAGCCCTAGCCATTTCCCCTTCTCGAGATGTTTTCTAAGGTTCTCAGCTACCTCAAGGTCTCACTGACGTGACCCAAACTGTCACTTCTGTTGTCACTTACCTTTATACGGTTTGTAAATGTGTACATGCACCATTTGGTTCAAATGCTTGGCTATACATCAAACCGTAAGTTCTCTATTATAGGAAGCCCAGGTACCTTTAATATGTTAAAGGGAATTGTGACCCTTCCGGAACACCGTGGACCGTCCTACACTGAGATCTAGACTGTTCTGGACATCATACATTTTTTAAAAATCATATGACAGTAATGGGCAGGTTGCCATGAAACGCCCCCAAAGTGCTCCTCGTCACCTGGATACTTACCACGTTATTCTTACCACTTTCTGGAGCAGCTCTGGAGGTCCAGTGTTTTTTAAAGTTCATAATCACTTTGTCTGAATGCCATCCATCCTCCTAGACTGCCCTCGAGTACTGGGCTCAACTCTGGGCATGGTCTCTGGACTGGTCAGTTGCTGTATATGCTGGGTCGAGTCTTATCCATGTCAGCCCAGCCTCTGCTCCAGTCTGTAGTGTCTGGATTGTTGCATGCATCTTTGGTCTGGCCTTAGAAAGCAGCCTTGGGGTAGCTGGTGAAGGTCTTGATTCTTTAGGATGGTACAATCCAATGCAAACATATTGGGTATCATTCACTTGGGAGCCATGCTGCTTACATTATGCAATTTCTTGTTTTAGTTAATTACCAGATACCTCACCTTCTAGGACCACGGCCGTCTCCCTTTGATGTTGCTATATTATCTTCCAAGAGCACATTTTCTTAGGCAATTTTATTTCATATTGATCCCATACATTCCCCCTAGTTAGGTCATTTCTTCTCTGGATGAGATGGATTTTTTTCCTGTAGGAAGCACTATAAGCCTGGCACACTGGGACACTGGAATTGCAAGGTCTGTGCTGGCTTCTGCACAGGTGCACCCTCCGGTGGAAATGATCTGGTACCCAGCATGCATCACTTAACCCTTTCATTACCTCGTATTTTGTGTATAACCCTCTTCATTATGGTTTTCTGTTGCTTTTATTTTTCTTACTCTTCAGACTGGCTGAGAGAAGAGAGGGAACGTTTTATCAACCTCTAGCGACTGTGCAGAGCTTAATCCATAGCATGTGCTCCACAAACTGTTTAGGAGTGAGAGAATGGAAGTTATAAACACTTCAAAACCATTTAAGGACTGGGCAGGGCGTGCATGCCTGTAATTCCAGCACTCGGGAGGCTGAGGCAGGAGGGTGGCTGTGAGTTTTGAGGGCAGCCTGGGCTACAGAGTGAGTTTAAGGCCAACCTGACTACAGAACAAGACTTTATCTCAAAACACAAAACAAAACCCACTGAGGAAACACTGTAAGCGCACATGTGAAGACCATACATCTCTTTATGTGTCACCCAAAGGCATGATTTCCTCAAACTGAGATCCCAGAGTGCCAGAGATCTCAACTCACTTGTCTATTTGGATCCATGCATTTCACTTGTGATGGGAGAAGTTTACTAGATGAT